ACGTCAATGAGCTTCCGTTCAAAAGCATGATTGATTCAATCTACTCCAAGTCTGAAAGAACATGTAAAAAATTATATTTACCCAAACACAATTTCTAATGACGTTTTCTTTTGATAAAAACATGAGTTTACTTGGTTTATCCGTATTTTTTCTTTGGTTGCATAATATATCTTGTGATAGTTTTTTCCAAGTAGCATTCTAAACGTTTTCTGGATTTGTGATACTATGTGTTACAAAACAGCTTGCGTAGATCCTTTGTTGATGCCCAATAACATGCTTCTTTAATAACTTCAATATTTTCTTCATCATAGTTCTTGCAGATAACAGAAGAAGTTATTTTTTTCCATATCTCTGTTTTAGATCTCAAAATAGACATTCATATTTTGTTAGTTTTTTTAAGTACACAGGCACAAAAGTTATTGTTTTCTAAAAAACGTCATTAGATTAAGCTTTGAAGAAAGTAAGCAACTTAAAATGTAAGATATTTATAACAGTGTTGATATGGTTGCACGATAAGTTAGTATCAAATAATATATTCGTATTATTTATTACATTCTTTTTATTGCTATATAGATGTTCGGAATTTAATGTGTTAACATAAGTCATTCTTAATTATTACCAATCGATCTTGTGAATTAAATAAGTAATATAAAATAAGAAGAATAGTTATGAATTAAAAATATCCCATAGAAACCTGCATAAAATTGTCAAATTTTGTTAGCAACTGTACAATATAAAATAATTTAATAGTTTTCTAAATTTTATTGAGACAAAAATAATATAAAATTTGCATATCGCTATTGAAACAAACTGAAAAATGGTTTGTAGTTAACTACAACCGGTCTTTCGTCTGTGTTATTTATCTGTTAATAGAAAAAACAAACAAATGTAAGAATTTATAAATTTAAATTTTTTTATCGAAGAAAAATAGACTAATAAGTTAGTATTGACATCCCTTACGTGTCTCCTTTATATATACTCTACCTTCCTTTTTTCTTATGTTATTAGGGAGATATTTTCATAACAAATGATGTTTAGTAATATAATTTCATAATAAATAATGAAACAGTTCAAAGAAAGATATTAAAGTTATATTGTCATTAAATGATTTACAATTAATATGTTATAAACTTGTGCAATTAAATCATATTCAAAATAAGGTAAGTTTTTAAATACGAATTAACAAATTCTAAACATTAAGTTAAATTGCATTAAAACAATGTAATAAATATGATTTGAAGTTGCACAAGTAATATGTGTTCAAAATAAGTTTATAAAGACGATTAACAAATTAGAAACATTAAGGTAAATTGCAATAAAACAATGCAATAAATATAATTTGAAGTTGCACAAGTAATATGTGTTCAAAATAAGGTAGGTTATTAATAAACTAAAAAAACATTAAGGTAAATTACATTTAAACTATAGATATTTAAATATTAAATGATATATAATAAGGAAATAATAAATATAAAAAGTAGTTGATATAAATTTTTGATTAATAAATATTACTATATATATTTAATTTTATTTAAAAAGATCATATAATTGCAAACCAAAAAAAATATATCAATTTTAATTAAAAAGATCATAAAACAAAATCACAATCAGCAAACCAAAGAAATATGTATGTATATATAAGCTTATAATTCTAAACAATAATATAAATCTACTAATCAAAAAAATATATATATTGGCAGCACAAAAAGATGCTATTGAAATGATATAGCTGAGAGATGTTATCAAATAGATAATTTTTTTTACCAGATTGAGGAAAAAAATTGTTATCGAAATGATATATCAAAGAGGTGTACAATCAAATCATATATAGCTTCAATGGATAAATCGTCATAATCGGATATCTGCATATAAACCAAAAGAAAAATCAGCTGTCATGAAATATAAAAACTTAATGTTCTAAAATAAGAAGAAAAAAAAGTTTAGAACATTATTAACATAAAAAGTTCAGAATACAAAGTCTAATGATTTCATTTCTTCTACTGTGAAGGTCTTATTTATAGTAAATTGATGGACGTTTCTCAATGATTTAGCTTGCATGATAAGCTAAGAAGTAACATATTCTCTAATAAATTCTCAATAAATCTTATACTTTTAAGGTAATATTATTTTTGGAATATCTTGTTGATAAAGCTAAAGGAGAACATCTCGTGAATAGATTGCACCAGAATTTTTGTTTAAGTTTTAAATGCATGATTTTAGGAGAGAAAATATCTTATCAATTAATTTTGTTTTAAATGCATGATTTTAAGATTGAAAATATCTTGTCAATTAATTTTGTTTCTCTGACATCTAAAATATTTAATGAGTATTTAATAAATTACACAGAGAAAGGATCGCAAAAGGATGTTCTTTGAATCGATAAAACACAATAGGTAAGTATTTAAATGGATTTCCTTTTTAGTAGGGTCGATGGTAAAAATAAATAAAAAAATAAATTCTAAAAAGTCAACCAATAGAATCGCTAGAATTCTTGTGAGAAGGGCTGTGTGAGTTCCCCCTATACATTAAAAGAGAAGTCACTTTGACACGTGGCATTCACACAGCCCTTCTCAGAAGAATTCTAACGATTCTATTGGTTGTTTTTTTAGAATTTATTTTTTGATTTATGTTTACCATCGACACTACTAAAAAGGAAATCCATTTAAATACTTACCTTTTGTGTTTTCTCGATTCAAAGAACATCCTTTTGCGATCTTTTCTCTGTTTAATTCATTAAATACGCATTAAATATTTTAGATGTCAGAGAAACAAAATTAATAGTGTGTAATAGATGACAGGGAATAAACCGCCTCGGTAACATTAACTATAGTATTATGTAAATCTATACCCCAACATTCCTAAAACTAAACCATAACAATAGGGGAACNCTATAGTATTATGTAAATCTATACCCCAACATTCCTAAAACTAAACCATAACAATAGGGGAACTGTTTGCCACCAAAACCCGAAAAATCCAACCCCTACCTAAATTTTTTAATATCATTTACAGATTAGTAAAATCGCAAAAATGCTATCAACAATATTTTTGATAATATCTTATTCTTATAGTATATTCTAAAAATTCAGATTTAAATTAGAAAACATTTAATAAATAATTATTTTTAATATTTTTGACTAACAACTCACGGACACTTTAAAATTTGATTCCGATGGTATATTCTAAATTCGTTACGAGCTGTTTAACTATATGCTGATTTTTCTTGTTCATATTTTAACCTACCTCTAGCTCTTTTATTTGATTCATAGAGTTGGTTACCTTATTTTTCCATCGCAAAAGGATGTTCTTTGAATCGATAAAACACAATAGGTAAGTATTTAAATGGATTTCCTTTTTAGTAGGGTCGATGGTAAAAATAAATAAAAAAATAAATTCTAAAAAGTCAACCAATAGAATCGCTAGAATTCTTGTGAGAAGGGTTGTGTGAGTGCCACGTGGCAAATGTACTTCTCTTTTAATATATAGAGGGATATGACTTGTTGTAGCACTCTAGAAAGAGTCCAAATTTAAATGACAATTTGTATCCCCTATATATTAATTGAGGAACATTTGAAAAGATGTAACCTCAATTTTGTATTAATTAAAAGAGGCCCCAATGCATAGGTGTCATTCAATTAGGTAGTCAATTAGATTCAATTGAAAAATAAGTAAGTCCACATTAGATTTTTATAGGTTGCTAGATACATTAGTTAATGAAACTATATGATATAATGATATGATATGCTATTTTCTTTCCATAAATAAAACCTACGGAATTACCATAAATGACTAATATATATATATATGACATTAATGATTGTTCCCTAAGATATAATTACTATTTTATTTTATTTCCATAAATAAAACCTACGGAATTACCATAAATGACTAATATATATACATGACACTTAATGATTCTAATAATAAATATTTAATAATAGTTTATATATACTCCATCATTTTTCTTTAATTTTATATTATTAAAATAAATTAAACAATCAAATTAGCTATAAAATTAAAATTTAGATTTTTTTTCGTATAGGTTATATTTTGAATTTTAAGAAACGAGAATAAATAACTAAACTATTAAAATTATTATGTTAAAAATTAATGATCAATAGTTTATCATTTTACTATAAAAAGATATACATGATTTTAAAACCATATAAGTAAAAAGTATCATTCAATAATAAAACAAATATATATATATATATATATATATATATATATATATATATATATATATATACAGATTAAACTATATACCATATAAGATTACATAGATATTTTAATTTCAAAATTTTCAATAAATTTTCAAGAACATTTATAAATTATAAACTTGTTAAATTTTTCACATTGAAATTTTTTGTTATCAATGATTTAAATATCTTAGTTCTTTTTTAATTTTATATTTTTAAAAGATATTAACAATCGATAATATGGTTATTTTTGGTATATACCATACAAACCGAATAGATGTGATTTTATAAAAACCATAGGATTTGGATATGGTTTGATTTATAATCGATTAAACTGAAACANTATCAATGATTTAAATATCTTAGTTCTTTTTTAATTTTATATTTTTAAAAGATATTAACAATCGATAATATGGTTATTTTTGGTATATACCATACAAACCGAATAGATGTGATTTTATAAAAACCATAGGATTTGGATATGGTTTGATTTATAATCGATTAAACTGAAACATGTAAATATGTATATATTTATAACGACGTATGAATATCTATTTCTTACATGAGTTGAACTATAATTATAATTTGTAAATAGCTAACAATTTATTACAACTAAGACTTCTTATTTTGAACTTTTGCTTTTTTTAACAGTAACTAAATTGAAGTAAAGATTATAAATTTGATGGACAACAATTAGTTGAAATTCTTTACAACTTTTTTTTATCTATAAACAAACAGAGTTGTGTTCAATCGAAGACATATTGGTTTGATGAACACTAAATATGGAAGAATATAAAAACTTTTCTTTCATGCTTCTGTTTTGTTTTTTATTTTTATTTTCAAAATTTAGTGTTTTGATATTAATTCTAGATTTGATCATTTTATTAGATGATAGAAGCTTTTTTTTGTTTTTTATTATTTTATTTAAATATATAATATTTTTTTAATAAATGACTCTGTGACAATATGACTCTAAATATGATCATATTATATATTTGTATAATATATAATATGATCTCAAACTAAATAATTATGTTTTTTGGTATAAAATTGAATAAACTGAAAACCAATGGTATATAAACCAAATCAAACTGAAGTACATATAGATTTAGAATAGTAGTTATATTTTAATGATCGAAATACCAAAAAATCGAGCCGAACCGAAACCCGATATCCGGATTGAACACCTCTAATCCGAATGAAACCGAACTATTGTTTCATTTTCAAAAACATAATAAAAATAATAGTTTCATCCCGCGGAAGGCGCGGGTCTTATCCTAGTTAATAGATAAAAAGAAAGACTCTATTTTAATAGAGTAGATTTCCATTGATTTCATATAATTATTAAATTTCCATATTTTTAAGGAATTGTTAAGATGCTAAATGGTATATTACGACTTCCACATTAATATAATTATTAGATTTCCATATTCTATATTTTGATAATATATATTCTTTTACAACATTCCATATTTGTAGGAGAAAATATGTGTTTTTGGTAGACACATAGATATCTGCCGTATTTTGAAGATACTTTACATTAAGGTCGTTATGTTACATTAATTGTGTTGGTTTAATTTAAGTAATGCGGTTCAATCAATTATAAGACTTATATTATTTGTAACACTCTAGAAAGGCTCCAAATTTAAATTACAACTAGTATCGGTAGATAAAAAGAATGTCTCTAATTTAATAGATTAGATATATGTTTTTTAAAATTATTTTTATTTAAATAATTTTACATTAACTGAAGGTATACTAGTATATTTGTTTATTTCTTTAATCTACGTGAATTATGTTTAATTGACACTTATATTGAAACATAGGGAGTATCATTTTTGGTAAATAGTAATTTGTCCGTGTCAATAATTACAAATATATAACTATTACTTGCGAAAGAAACAAAGATTCTTAACGACCGTTCATTAGAGACTTAATCACAGAAATGGCCACGTCGCAAAGATTCTTAACCAGCTGGTTTCTAGCCGTAAGAGCCACCGAGTTTTCATCGTCAGCCATGGTACTATTGATCCGTTTTTGACAAGAATCAGTCTGTTTCTCGGCGTCTCCGAGAACATACGTGGCAAATCCAAACTCCCCTCGCTGCATTGCCTCAATAGCCTGAGGAATGTTAAACCGGACCACCGGCCGGTACAGCTCAGCACACTGAGCCAGTGCTCGCTCCGCCGCTGGATCGTGAGAATGTCTGATCAGAGATTGGATATAACCTAAGTGATCAGTCATGTTACCTAGCACAACATTGGCCATTGCGGAGGCTAGAGATTTGGGATCGGAAGGTGAGGGAGTGAGAGGGCGGAGAGAGGCTTCACAGAGGTCGCAAAACGGCGTCTCTCTGCAGACTATGTCAATTAGGTCTTCGGATGGTTGAGCTTGCAAAGGGAGGAGCAGAAGGAGAAAGAGGTATAGAGACGGTTGTGATGTGACGGCGGAGGATTTCTTCATCGTCGGCGATGGTGAATTAAAGTGTGAAGAATATTGATGTGTTATAAACTTAAGTAAATACTTGTGTTGTGAGTGCTACTAACTACCTATATAGTTGCTATTTAAATTTGTTATATAAATGTAGTTAACGTTAGAAGCTTAGAAATCTTAGTTTTTCTTTTAATCACAAAAAGTTTTCTTTTTTACGTGTCGTCACATATGACTCGTTTTATATCGATATTTGTTTATTAGTGATTGTTAGGTCTATGTAGTTGTTCTTATAACTAGCTGCATAACTCCGCGCAAGCGCGGAGCCGGGATCTGTGTTTTTTTTGGTTGTTGGTTTAGTGGGTTATTCTAATAATATCAAATAATGATGAAATGGAAAGAATATAGCAAGAGTGCAAAGTGAAAATATTGTATATATAATGTGTTAAATGTTATTTATATGCGAAATAAGGTTTATAGGAATAACTAAATTATAATATAGTTTTTAGTGTATAAAAATAGATGCCTATATTGTTTTTTTTTTTTATGTTGGAAATAGTTTTTATATCGGATGTCAAAACTTGATATAAATATTTATTTATAATATTTATATTTGTACTAAACGATTTATCAATTTGAAAATAACTTTAATTTAAGCTAATATTTGTTGTTTGGGTTTCAATAGATAGGTTTGAATATGTTTTTTTGTAAGTTTGGATTTTGTTCATGAATAATGTGCTATTTTTCTTTACAGCGTCATCGACTGTGGAAATTCATCCGCCGGAGTCTGATAAAAATGAAATTATAGTAACTATTAAAAATTGAAGATAAATTACATAGTTATTTTATAAATAACAAAACTATTTATTTTATTTTATTTCACATATATAATTTTTTAAAAATATATATTAGGAAATATGTTCTAACAGTTAAATATATATTAGGACATGATAGTGCCGTGTGAGACTCGTTTTTTTTCTTTTTTTTTTGATATTCGTTTTTTGATCCATTTTTAATTGTTTTTTGCGTTTGAGTTCGTCAAACTTTAGGATTTTTCCACTATTTTGGGCTTTAAACAATAAGTCCAGCGGAAAAAAACATGAAAACATTAAAACTAAAAAGCCCATATGATAATAATCTAAACGTAAAAACTAAAATACATAACAGTTGCATGGTTTGAACCCACACACTTGCAGACTTAATTAAATGCCTTATACCACTTTGCTAAAGTGTATTCATTGTTCAGTCATTTTAAAAAAACTATAAGCTTTTCAAATTTAAATATGCGGGGCCCACTCAGTTGCTGATGTGGATAGCCTTAAGAGAATCATTATTATATAGATTCCACTCGTGACAACCTTATTGAGTATAGCTTTTGTTGTGAGTATTGGTATGGTATACGTATATTGATTGACGCACACTACTTAAGCTTTGTATACGGAAACATGGATATGTGGTGGTTGTTGGCACAGAAACAAGAGAAAAGTAGATCTTGTGTGTGGTAGGTATTGGTGAATAGGTCAGGTCCTTTATGAATCGGTCCACATGCAAACGAAGATACCATTATACATTTCACACTATATGACTTTTTCATCTAATTTTAATTATTTCTTTAATTTACATATAACAGAATATATATATTGTGTAACTGCCTTCTCTAGCCAGTCTGGCTCGTGAAAGTTGGTGTATCCCGTGATTCGGTTTTAGAAACTACATGCCCATTTACGAATGGTATTACCAGTTTCGAGAAATTAAGGTACGAGAACGACCTTAAATTAATTCGATCTATCCGGTTTAACTAGGTCTTGATCGATGGAATAACATATTTTTTTACTAGGACAACAACTTCATGGAATAACATATTTATTTGTTATCATTATTTTAATACATACTATTAATTAGAAGGATTATTTAGAGCAACATTCGGACGATGGCTCTGGTCACGTCGCAGATCTTGACCATTTTCTGGGTCAAATCGGTCAAGGGAGATTGGCCTTTGGGAAACCCTCCTTCACAGACAGAGGCTTCAACGCCAGCGTCGACAATTGCATCCTCAGCAAACTTAGGGTTTCCTTTGATAGCAATATTGGCTGTGTGGACGTCGGCCTCTACGATCGTCTTGTATCTTAGATTACATTCATCAAGCTCCCGCTTAAGCATCGGTTTAGTTTTGTACGCCACGTTGATCTGCCCGATAGTCTCTGTCCCAAGCGCCTACAACATTAAACACATGAAGTCTTCACATTATAAAAAAGTAGTTTATATTTGTTAATGGTTTCAAACCTCTACCGGCTCTGATAATCACCCTATCGGTGCCATAACTTTGTATTGTTACAAAAATCAAAGCCATGCGTAGACTATCTGATTTTTTGTTCTTTTAATAAAATTATGTAAGAGAGACCTCGATTTTGTCGATGAGGATGAGACAGAGGCCGACGATGTCAGCTGAGGAACTACGTGGATCAGAGTTGAGAAGAGAGAGACAAAGAGTGTAGTCAGGTGTCTGTTTGCATGTCTCATCTACAATATTTCCCATTGCAGTTCCCATCATCATAGCCATCGTCACTATCATCATCACCTTTATCAATTGCATCTTTTAAAAACCTTTGAAACTTAAGATGTATAGTTAGTGAATCTTCCTCATCGCAGAAGTGTATATATACGTGTGTTCTCGGTGTGACTAGTTTATGAATCTTATGGTTATCCTAAAACGTCTTTTTTTGTTGCTTCGATAGACGTAATATATTAACTGCGCATTAATGACACTTTGTCCCGTAATGATTTAGTCAAATACAATTAATTAAGTAAGAATGACAATAAAATGGCCACGAAAATGTTACTAGTATTTTATAATGGAGGTTATAGAATGTCAGAGGTCTTTGACTGAAAGCAGTTTATAGATGGTATACTATACAGTGAATCAATAATTTAAATAACGATACTGTTGGTATTTTAAATTAAGCAACTCTTATTACCTTTTCAACTCTGTTGTTTTACTGTAAATGATTTGTAACACATTAAATTATAGAAAAATATGACAAAACAATAATAAAAGACGAATGATCTTCCCCTACCAGAAAATAGCAAACACAACTTACACAAACATGGATTGATGACACCTTAGAGCATGTTTATCGTGAAAGGTGCTTAAATTTTTTTTTGTTTTTTTGTTTTTTTTTATTTGTTTTTTGTTTTCTGATTTAAAAAAAAATTTAAAATGTAACCAATCGTGGGCCGCCACGTGTCATGGGGCCCGCGGAAAAGCTCAAGCATCCAGATAAACTCGACGCTTATTTTGGCATCAGGAACATTGACTTTTGGCTTTTTATGGGCCCCCTTACTTTTTTCCCTAAGCACCCTAACCCCCTAGATAAACCTGCTCTTAGTATTATCAAACTGGTATTATTTCAAAATAAGGTGAAATAGATGTTTCCATTCCAACAATGACAGATGATATTTTAATACTTCAACGAATAAATCTGAACTACAAAATACAAATCAGATAGATAGTCTGGATTAACTACTCACAAGTCACATCCCAAAAACACTACGACAAAAACGCGGACTAAATAAAAAGAACAATAGAATCCGTTCCTAAACAAAACATGTTCTGTTTGTGGAAGAGGAGGTTCCAACCCTATATTGAGAAGAACTGGTTCTCTCGCTTCAAACCCATCATCTCACGTCAGGACTGGTCTTATTACTTTGTGTCCATATCTATAATGTATGCAGTTTGGAAACAATATAGGAACTTTTAAATTTGGTCAAAGAACCTGAAAAACTTTCGACTCTCTTATAAAAAGCCAAGCTTAAAATCAGAAATGATTCACGAACGTTTTCTATATCTCAAGTACACCCCCAACATTTAGTGAGATTACAATGGGGGGAGATATTAATATTTTGTGAAAGAAAACTCTATGTTTCGTGAAATAACAGAAACATGAAGAATTGATTTAGATATTGGACAATATTCACGTAAACTTTTTATAAGATCAGTGTCTTGCTTAGAAATACATCATGTCACCCATGTTCTGCATACGACACTTAACTTAGAAACCATTTTATTCATCATTCAAATTCCAAAGTGGTCTTAACAAAAGCCACATTGAAACTTGAAACGGAAAATATAAAATAAGAAAACCTCTTAAAGTCAACAATGGAAAAATAAGTATCCAAATCCCTGAATCAAACATCACACTAACTTGGAACTGTTGATCTTCCTGCTCATCTTAAAGAGATAGGAAGAACAATGAATGAATGATTTTGATTATCCAAGAAAATATACAAATGTGAGTCCACCACACACCATAAATAAAACGCTTATTGCCAATCTAAGGCAAAGACAAGAAAACGATCACGACTCAGCAAACAAACAACACGCAATTAAGACTCATTACGCTACTTATCATGCCAAATGTTCTTTGAGCCCCTAGCAGTTAACACTACATTCAAAGATTAACACTCATTACGACTCAGCAAACAAACAACACACAATTAAGACTTATTACGCTAATTATCATGCCAAATGTTCTTTGAGCCCCTCGCAGTTAACACTACAGTCCCGCTTAGGTGTCTTACACGATCGACTCTACGATGCATCTTGCAGTGGCCAACTTACTGTACAGTTGACTTGTCAACTCAATTGCAGCTGTCAAACTACCATACATGATATAACGATCCAAATAATCCGTCCAAAGGATCCATTGATCAATCCTACTATGAGTACGTTACACACTCAAATACATACAATTGTCAACAATCAAACATGAATCTTAATAAACAAGCAACCATGCTCACTTTCTTCATCAATCTGAAACCCTGTCGCTAAGTTCTTATAAGTAGAGATGTATTCATGTGTAAATAACTATAGCAATGAATAGAAAACATATTTTGACATATATATTTTAGCATAGCTACATGTATGTGAACTCATATTAAATCCTAGTATGGCTATTAACACAACGTGGAAGTAAAGCAAAAGTGGAAAGCATAAATACTTCCTCGCCTTGGGATGGATTTAAAGAAGGACAAAGAAAAGAGTTATATCTAACTTCAACAGACCCAACTAAAGACTATGTGGTAGGAAACTAGCTTTCTCTCTGATGTGGACTGCTAATTCTTCCATTAGATTTGTTCAAGCTTTGCTCAGGTTGTCTCTGTGGGTTATCGATGTCGTCATCATCCCGTACATGTTATGTTCGTTTCGTCGAAGGTGCTCTCAGCCTTGTCTTGTCTTTTGCTCCTTCACTGATATAGATCTCATTCTAAAATCCTAGATAAGAGGATTTTGGTCCTTGATTCGTTCTGTTTAGGATTTCTGTGAGTTTGTGTTGCCTGCAGTTTCATATCTCTTGGTGTAGTCTCACTGTTAGTTTAAAGTAGCGACGGGTATTGGTTCAAGACTTGACCCGTAGTTGTTGTCATGTATCCTTGACGTTATTGGTTTTGGCATTCTCTCACTTCTTCGGCAGCTTTGGAGTCTTACCCCCCACATCTTGGTTTGTGTCCTCGGCTTCTTGTCGCTCCATCTGTGTCTTCGATGGTCTTAGCTTCAATGGTGGAAGCGGTTCTATGCGACACGTTATTCCTCTTGCGGAATGGTTCTGGTTCGGGTAAAGGGTTCTCTTCGACCCCATGGGTTGGATGCTCTTCTTTGATACTGCTCAAAAAACGGGTTAGATCAGTCTGGGTTGGTCCTCTTTTGAAGTCGTTTTATTGGTCTTGATTCTAGCATCCGGCTTCTTTAGATGTTCTTGGTGATGGCTTTTGTTCATTTTTTTGACCTCACTTTTGTATGTGATTCTTAGTGAAGGTGCTTTATATTTATGTATGGTTGGATATTGACTCCGGGAATATCCGACTCTTGGCTCCAGTTCCTATATGGCTTTAGTTTTCATTAGTCTTTTGCTAGTCTTGTGTTGTTGATTAATCCTTTCTAGTATAGAGTGGATTGATTGTTTGTAATGAACTATTGTCCATGTTGTTCAAGTAAAATCTACAGATTACAAATAAAAATTTAGGTAATGTCCGCTTTAAACACCTCTAAATAAAATTGAACTGCTACTGTGAATAACAAGTTAATAATTAATCCATATAAGTCAATTAGTATGCTACAAAAGTAAACTTAGATCCAACCATGTTGAATTCTTGATTGAAGCAAGAGACCAAAATCAACATATAAAACAATAAATGGAGGGGTAAATATTTTGGGCTTATTTGTGGAATGGCCATTAAATTTTTTTAGATTTTTAGAGAAATGGAAGAAAGAGATAGATATTGAGCCTAATTTCCCAAATATTTTCTTAGATATGAAAAAATGTTCTCAAAATCATCTTGCTTTAGAAAACCAAGGCAGAGATGGGTAACATAAGTTTTTACATATCGACAATGAAAATTCCACCACATCAGACTCATATATCTAAATGGGGTAATTTTTTTTTTTTTAAATGTAGCTTACATGTCCTGAATATTTGGGGGTTGGCATAGATATTGGGTACTGCAAATGGACTGATAAATAATGTAATTCTTCTTCTTCTTCTTCTTCTTCTTCTTTTTTTTCCCTTTGGTCTCATTGCTTGAGGTGAGTCAAGCTTGGAACATATGTGCACCCATATTAGTCTTATTTTGTTCCATATATAATAAATTTTCCTTAAAGTTAAATTTTTGACTGCACAAGAAATTCACAGTTTCGTTGTTTCTTTTTGTTGTTGAATGCTTTGTTAGACTTGTGTGCAGTATGAAGAATCGATGTTAAATCTGCAGAGTCTTATTTGTTAGAGATCATAAATTTGATCAGACTCATCACAAGAAGAAAGGAAAACAGATCATAAATTTTATAATATTTGGTTTATATTATAACACTTGAGTAACATTCTTTTTGTAGTATCAGATCTCCCGGATTTACACACTACCGTAACGATGAAAACACACGAGAATGGATCAGTTTTTAGTCGGCGAAACCAAAGATGCGGAATCAAGTGAGTTCTCATTTCTAGTAAATTCATTTACTCAATACTTCATTTTTCCTCATTTCAGGTACAAGAAACTTGTTCTTATCCACTATCTGTGGGTGAAAGGCAATGGTAAAAATGAAGTTGAGGAGGAAGCCAACGTGGTGGAAAAAGTAGAGGAGAAGGAGGAGGACGCGAACCCGGAGAAAAAAGTAGTGGAGAAAGAGGGGGATAAGCATCCAAAATCAAAGTTTAAAACTATTGCTTCTCATGGGAATTGGGAAGCAATTCTAGCCTATAGCAACAGCTCAGATTCTGCTGAATCTTCTCAACAACAAAAGGTAAGAGCAAAGACTTCTATATATTTTTACTCATGGGTCAACTGAGATTTGAGTTATTGATGTTTTTTGTTGTTGTTGTTTCAGAAAGTCATTTTAAGCTCGGACTCAAGTTCATATCCTTTAGACTCAACAGATAAAGAGTCAAAGGTAAAATTTGTTGATACAGTTTTATGTAAATTTTTGTATTAATGGTTGTTTTTGTATTAACTTCTCGCGATACAAGTGGCAAAAAGAACATTACACTT